TAGAGTATTAGATAGTTTCAAAATTGAAATGCTGTTGAATCGTGTTAAATCTGTTACATCTTTACTGATATATTGCTGGTTGTTTGTTCTTAGTGTTATTGTTTTAAGTGGTGCGTTGGCTGGTGGGTTATTATCTCGGAAACATGAGGCATTTGGTCCTTAAGTGGTAAAATATGCTTGAGGATGGTTTGGTTTATCCAAGATTCTGTTGAGTTTGAATTTTGAAGGTGCAATTGTTGTATGCATTTTAGGATCTCAAATCATACTTGTTTAATTTAGTGGGGTTGGATATGACTTAGAAAATAGATCCTCGATCAAAAAACAGCTATGAGACGATTGATTGAACCTGTGGTTGTTGGTTACTTGTTTGTATGACATTGTAGCTCCAGTTTCAATAGGTGAGAAATTAATTGTTTACTTGGGGAGATATTATTGTGGCTATTTAATACTTTATAAGTTGGATGATTTCGAAAAAAAAAGTAACATGCTTGATGAATGTTTTCTTTGGTAGTAGAAGCAGAGGATATACCACTCTTTGATCTTTAAGGTTGCCACAATAAAGTGTTTGGTGGCATGATTATTTGGAGTGGCAAACACCCAGCATGTAGTTTATGGTTCAAAGTGATTGTTCTTTTGCAGGTATAAGATTTAAAAGTGATGCAACTTCTGTTCTTCCTGTGAAAATTATTGAGTAAACAAACTCCTTATGGGAAAATAAGGAGAGTTGGTAAATCTGTGCATATCAACTGTGTTTTGGTTTGACCAGATTAAGAGCCAACTTTTTGAATTGAATTGTGGTTACTTTTGGAAGTTTGGGATCATCAAATATTCTTGGATTATTTGTGAAGAGGACTGATTTGGTTCAGCATTATTATTCCACTTCACAAAAGCACAAACAAACGTGAAAGGAGCAACTATGATGTTCAGCATTATTATTCCATTTCACTTTTATCTGGCCAATTTGACTCAATTCTATAGAGCAATCTGTGACTAGATTGAGGTGTTAACACAAATAAAAGAAAGATTTGAAACTACATAACCTCTGTCAATTAGCTTATCAGAAAATGAAAAAGGTATATTGAATCTCCCATCAGTCTAAATGTTAGGTGGATACGCGAACACCACCATTACAAGAAACAAGAAAAATCTTGAATCCTTAATCAAGTTACAAGAAAAGCACTAATCTTGCTTTAAATTATATTTTGACGCAAAGTGAAATAGACAAGTAACGAACATTTTTAAATTTCATTTTAATTCAAGACCGATCCATTCTCCAGAGAGAAGGCAAGAAAATAATTCTACAAAGATATGACATACCGATGTTGTATTAATCTCTTATGAGAATGCCCATATAAGTAAGAGAACATTTGGACTATAAAAGAAGGAACAAAAAATAACCTTTTAAACTCACACTTTGTGCATTGTTTTTGATAATACTTTTTATTTTTCACAGAAAGCGAAAGGTGGTTGTTTAAAAGCTACAAAGAAAACCCGGGAAATTGGATAACCGATTGAGTAGTGAATGGTCCAAGTGTGATGACAGGTCGTTAATTACTCCGGTATATGCTTTTATTCTCCCTCTCATTCTTCCCCTTTATCTTCACAGCTCCTTCACTCTGTTGTTGTGTATTTGCTATCTCAACAATGGCGGAAGATCATCCATTGTTGCCGAATCGCGCCATGGAAATAGAACAAACGGAGAGTGGAGGCGAAGCAGCAGCAGCAACAAAGAAGAAGAAAGCTAAACCTGCTCGGGTTGCTTCTCTTGATGTCTTTCGTGGCCTCTGCGTTTTGGTAAAAGCTTTTCATTGCTTTTTTCTCAATGAATTTAGAAAAAAATAGTTACTTGAAGCATGCTCAGTCCAAAAGTTTAGGTGAGATGGTCAAGCTAAGTATGCAACAGATCATCTAACTTCTTTCTCGATTTTAATATTTGATACTTTCTTCTGCATGTTTTTCTTTCTGTTTTTAAAAATTTTAATCTTAAAGGTTCGAGTGCATTTTGGTGAAAGAGCTATTCTCTGAGATCTCCATATCTATTAATTTGTTCACTGGTTTCAGCTTATGATGCTTGTGGACTATGGCGGCTCTATTTTCCCAAGTATTGCTCATTCCCCGTGGAATGGTTTACACTTGGCAGATTTTGTGATGCCATTCTTCCTCTTTATTGCTGGAGTTTCCCTTGCAATTGCATATAAGGTATCTACTCTCACATTTCATATTAGACATATCTATAATCTGCTTGTTCTACTTTAGGCTTAATGCATAGTTTTCGTTATTAAAAAAAGGCTTAGAATGCATAGCCGTTAGACTTGATAAGTGATGTACCATTTTATGTATAGTCAACCATCACTCTTCACACTTACTAAGCTCTTTTCCTATTTCCGAAATTGCAGAAAGTTTTAGACAGAAAAGGAGCCACTTTGAAAGCTGTGTTAAGGACATTGAAACTTGTCCTCCTCGGTGTTTTTCTTCAAGGTAATCTTACTAGCTTGTATCAACTGCACTGAATATCATTTTC